GGGGCAGCCGCCGATTCAGCACATCCTCCACCAGTTTCACACACACTGCAGGAAAGGGCCGGGGTCAGGGTGTGCAGCAGCCGTGGCCACCCCTCTGCGGGGCTCCTGGCACCCATAGGCTCCACTCATGGTCACTCAGTGGGGCTGGCAACTCTCTCCCCAAACACCCCTGGGCGCCCGCTCACCGGCATCAGCCAGGCCAGGGTGCCGCTCGCTGATGGGTGCCGCATACTGGGTGCTGAGCACCTGCAGGAACCGCTCCACGGGGCAGGTGTAGACGTTGGGCACCTCCACGCAACGGTCCCAAAGGGGCAGCACGCCCTCCTTCCGTGTCGAGAACTGCACCACTGCAGGGACAAGCACCGTCAAGCCACGGCAGCAGGCGGGTGACTCCTGCCCTCCGGCTGGCACGGGACCTCGCTGCCCAGCCGTGCCCACGAGGGGAGACTGGGCCCCGCACAGTCCCGGGGTGGCACGGACGGTCCCCTCAGCCACGTGTCTTTACCTTCGGTGGCAGAGCCGGCTGTTCCCGCTCGCTCCTCCGTCAGCTGGCACACGATCTCCAGCACCTGCGCCTCCCGCAGCAGCCTGTCCAGGGCGTACATCTCCCGGCACCGCAGGGGACCGAAGGTGCCCAGCTTCTGCAAGGCATGGCCAAACCGGGGACCTCACCGCCCACACCACAGCCTCCATGCTGCGGCAAGACACCCCTCGAGGGGGCACCCACAGCCCACCCCAGGGCTTCCCTCCCCAGGACGTCTCCTGCCACTGTGCCCCGGCCCCTGTCCTCACCAGCAGCAAGAGGTTGCAGTTGTTCAGGTGAAGCACCAGGGCCTTATCCAGGAACTCGTTGCCAGTGCTCATGGGGTCGGTGCTGGCCTCGGAGCCACTGCACATGCCGGTGTCATCTGCCCCTGTCTCGCTGGCGCTGGGGGCCCTGCTGCCACGCCGGTGTCTGCCAGCCCTCCTGCAAGCCGGGGAGAGACCGAGGCAGCGGGTCAGCGCAGGAAACCTGGACCCAGCCCTTCCCCATCCACAGCGGCAACACTGGGCAGAGTTTCTGTAGGACCTACAGTATCATGGCATCAGGGCTGGGTGAAGGAGCAGGTCCCAGGGACACAGGGCATAGGGGCTGCCTCCCAGCCCAGTCCCCATGGAGAGATGTGGGATAGCATTGTGCCACCAGAAGGGCCAGATCCTGCTGCTTCTTGACCTGGACCTGCCCTGAACTGTGATGGGCTGGTCTAAATGTGCTTGGGCATCCTGGCGGAGCTGGGCATCCCCCATCCCAACTGCCCCAGGGCCGCGTCCTGCCCCGCGCCCCATCCCATGAGCCCCGCTGTGCACCTCTCGTCTTGGAGAGGCTCCTCCTCGGAGCCCTCCGAGTCCTCCATGTCGGAGGTGTTGAGGAAGCTGAAGCTCTCCAGTGCATGCTCCACCGTCAGGCTGATGCTGGAGGCCCGGCTGAGGAAGACGCCCTGCTTCTGCTGTGGAGGAAGGCATGGCGGGTTTGGATCCCGGCTTGCCAGCCAAGACAGCCCCGACACCTGCATCCCTGGGCACTACCATCAGGAATGGCCCTGTCCCCATCGTCCCTGGGCACTGCCAGAAGGGATGGCCCCGTCCCCATCGTCCCCGGGCACTACCAGCCAGCATGGCCCCATCCCCATCGTCCCTGGGCACCACCAGCAGGGACAGCCCCGTCCCCCTCGCCCCCGGGCACTGCTGGGAGCCCCTCACCAGCAGCATCTCCTCCAGGCGCTTGAGCTCCCGTTCGAGAGGCTGCAGCTCTGGGAACTGCCCCCGATAGTCGTCCAGGGCTGAGCCCAGGAGGCCAATGGCCTCCTCCAGACCAGAATCCACCGCCTTCCCCCGTGACACCTCGGGGATGCCGGCAGGCAGCGGCGGGGCCGGGATGGGCCTCTCCTCTGTGGAGGCTTGTGCCAGCACCGCGGGGACCCCGGTGCCGCAACCGCCCTGTGCCGGCGCCTGGCTCTGCACTGGCTCGGCCCCGTCAGCCTC